CAGTAAGGACAGTTTATAAGTATGGTTGCATCAGTGAGGACAGTTTATAAGTATGGTTGCATCAGTGAGGACAGTTTATAAGTATGGTTGCATCAGTAGGGACACTTTATAAGTATGGTTGCATCAATAAGGACAGTTTATAAGTATGGTTGCATCAGTAAGGACAGTTTATACACGTAAGTATGGTTGCATCAATAAGGACAGTTTATAAGTATGGTTGCATCAGTAAGGACAGTTTATAAGTATGGTTGCATCAGTAGGGACAGTTTATAAGTATGGTTGCATCAGTAGGGACAGTTTATAAGTATGGTGGCATCAGTAAGGACAGTTTATAAGTATGGTTGCATCAGTGAGGACAGTTTATAAGTATGGTTGCATCAGTAAGGACAGTTTATAACCTTTCCATTGACCCCTTCATACATCTCTGCTATCACAGATGAGTGTGCACCATTGCTTTTCATAATAGGCTAAAACCCCCTTTTTTTTCCAATTTGGAATCTATGTGTCCAAATCAAGAGCATGTGTGCAAACGTAACCTTGGTTGTTGCTCAGTAATGGAATGGCCGCCTTGGTCAGCTGATCTTACAACTCTGCAATGAGTTCCGTTGAGGACATTTGATGAACACTGGATTTTTGTTCACGTCTTCTGCATGACATTACCGAGTTACGGGCCTGTATGCTTAACGAAGTTATCGTCTTGCACAACAAGATAGTTTACTTCATGCATGGAACCAGTAGCTAAATTAAATTGTTTCCAGCTCTAATATGGCGCAAAACACACTGTTCATTACAAACACCCAAAATAAGACAACATATTTGTTCCAATAATATACAAGACTGAAAAAAAAAACTTCACAAAACCAGACAACCTGACTTTGTTTGGTGAGGTTCCTAAAGAACGAATAATTAACCCCTGACCTTATGATCAATGAATATGTTGAATGGCCACGGTTAAAAGTTCCCAACACATGCATTTGGGACGCCCGGTGTGAATAACTACTGCTCAGCACCACGATGTACCCTGTTTTATTTCGCCTGAATGGCACAAAAGGCTAGGGTCCCGTTACTTACCTGGGAGCCGGGGAAAGCTGAACAGCTTCCCCCGCTCTCTGACCGGCGAGTTTGACATTCCCGGTGAGGTAATTACTACGCAAAAATTGTGCCGGGACAAAACAAAAGAGGAAAGAAAAATTTTTTTTAAAGCAAACTCTACTAGAAGGCGATGTCACGTGTACACGAGACTCAGAACGGCCGTTGGCCTGGCTACGCGGTGATAATGTCGCACATGAAAGCAATCGCGAGGAATCTGCACATGTAAACTACTCCAACAGAATGAGACTTAAGTCCCCCCATAAATATGATTTAACATTTCAACCACCCCATGTAAAATGACTGGTGTGCTATGGGGAAACTAATCTTAAAAGGCTAGGGATAAGTCTCATTTTGCCAGAGCAGGCCATCACGCACTACCACATGAAATTACACACTGTATGTGAACACAAATATGCGGACCACACAATGACCACACAACGGTGAAACGTACGGTCAGTGCTTGACAATGAACTGACGACTTGCATCGCCAATTTAAAAAGCAGTCACACAGACTGTGGGTGTGGATTTTTCAGTGTTGGAGTAATAAATCTCGCCGCTTTCATAAAGACGTGTGCATCATTTCAGCTCAGTTGCAAATCGATGCCTGGACTAGGCCTCACCTGCAATTGTTGAGATTGGACGTGGGTGGTGCTTGGACAAATTTTAATGGGGTGGGGGAGCATAATCGCAGAGAACTTACTGACCAATCACGACAGGGGAAAAACATACTATGCTCTTGGAGTTTGCTGACCATTTGAGATTCGATGGGGGAAGGGGTGAACCTGACACTAGGGGGCGCTATTTCAAGCTTCCAGGACTGGACACCATCCAACACTAAGGGGTGCTGTTCAGAACAGTCTCTATTGCTGACATTTACATCAGGTGGCTGACAAGTCAGCAATATTGCAGACAGAACAGAGAAGCACAAGCCAAGAAATCACCGGTTCCCAGCCCCTCATGCAACGAGTACTTGCTTATGGCTGGTCTCAAGCTATAGGCCACTTCCAAATAACGTTGCCGCAGCTCTAGAGGGCGCATGAGCGTACAGAGAATGGCAACCATTAACACAGGCACATATTTTGGGGCTCGGCTAGGAAATTTGCTGCGTGATTTAATTTTCTGTTGAAACCCCGTCCTACCTGCTGCGACGGTGGACATGAATTCCTTAAAATCTGCGTTTCCCTTCTCTTCCCGTTCCAGCTTATTCACGTGAGCTTTGACGGCCAAGTCTGATCCGTTGATCTCCAGGGCGGCCGTGACCCCGATGAGGTGAAAGCTTACGACAGATACCTGCAGGCAGGTCAGATAGTCACGAGTCTATAAGCTGTAGAAATCATCTAAAGCTGCTTTCTTCATTCAAAAACAGTGGAAGATGACAAAATGGAAGCTTTGCTAACATTTTCAAAAGTCCACCATTGTCAACCACTAAAATGGCGCAAATTTTGTATTAGCTTTCAAGGGGTATCAGACTCAATGTAAAGTAGCAGTGGCTTGGCTCAACCTGCCTCAATCCTACAAAAACCTTGTTGGTGTTAGGGATGATCTCAACTGACCTTTTTCAGTTTGAATTTGTTATCTCTGAAGTCCTCTGGGGCCTCCTCAAAAATTTCCCCTCCGGCTTTGCTCTGCTCTTGACCTTAACAAAGGGATTTCAAAACATGTCTCTGTTATTCTAAACTACTACACAAAGGAACACAGGGAAGGGGGAACTCCATGCTCTTTACATGAACAGTTGAGGGCGCTATGTACATGTAATATGCCCAGGGTTTCCATGACAATGATGAAATCCCCTTCCTCGGTTGCCAAGTGAAGGTTACTTCATAGACTGGTGACCTGTCCTCATATGCACTGCTTTTAAGTGTTTTTCTCTTGACTATTCTACTTCAAAGTAATCAAGATTAATTAAGGGGAAACGAGACCTTTCTGGGCATTCCAAACACACCAAATTCAAGGACGCTTAAAAATCACTCAGTCCGGGCAGCCACCGGTCATCTCAGCACAGAGAAGGGAGGGAGACGTGAGAGGAGTCTCAAAATGTGTCTACGGCTGTGACTGCGGCCAGTCCCAATACAGTTATGTGTAATTTCAAGCCGCAGCCATGTGATGCGGACACAGCCTTACCTGCATCGCTCTCTGTCTCTGTTCCCTGTCCACTGCTCACTGACTGACCGTCCCCCTTGATGGCCAAGACCAAGCCCTCGCTGGAGTCACTGCTCAATGAGATGATGTCCAGGTCGACCGACTCGTCCAGGGAGGTCTGGGACTCTGCCCGACTGCCGCCCGACTCCACCTGCTGCAAGGAGGAGAAGGAAAACTGGGCGTGGTGGACCCGGGCGAGGTCCGACTGGGAGGAACTCCTCGGGGGCTGGATGGAGTCGGCGTTGCGGAAGATCGGGCTGCCCGAGGCAGAGTGGCTGGTCAGCAGCACCTCCTGGGACCGCCGACGTTGGGACTGGCTGCTGCCTGTGGAGCCGTCCGATGGCTGACGCGAGTGCGTCAATGAAGAAGTCCGCGTTGGCGCGCCATCGGAGATGACAATCGCGCCTGGGGGCCCACCGTTCACAGGCCCGGCCGTGTCATGCTGGGAGAGAGCGACTTTGCCATCTGCGCTGCCGAAGCTCGCGCCCCGGTGCTCCTTCACGGGAGACGAACCGGATATCTCCACAGTGGGAACATCGCTGTCCGGCGATCCCTTATCAGATTCGGACAGCGCCACAGATTTCCCCTCGCTGTGGAAATCCTGGACGGGGTTCACTTTGTCACCCTGTGGGCTGTCTGAATCCCCCGTCGAGGCCCCAATGCCATTTGCTGTCTCTGCATCAGTATCGAGACTTGCGCCAGTCCTTCCATTAGGGAGTTCCCCTTCCTCCACTTCTGCCTCCTCCTCGTCCCCAGGGATCGGGGGCATGACAACGGTCGCCTCGATGTCTGGACACTCGAAGGCCACCATCTGACTCAGGGGTGGGGGAACCGGCTTGTCCTTGGCAGCAAACATCTGCTGGTCGGCTTCTAAGGACTGCTGCAGTTTCTGAACTGACTGCTGCAGCCGCAGGAGAAACAGCAGCTGCAAAATAATGTCAAAATGGTTGAATCATTCTTCTTTCTTTACGCTTACCTTCAAATGGAATTTCAAACTCCTGTTTGTGGCCAGCATTATGCCGCAAAAGTGGTTATCTACAGTGCTACAAAAGTGTAGCCGCAGCGTAATTGACGTGTGCTTGAATGACATAATCCTTAATCTTTAAGTTTCACTTTTCAGTATGACTGCATCGACCAACCAGGCCACTCTTCAGGAATTTGACAATTTAAAACGAAAACAAGAGAGGCTTTTTAATCCTGCATTTAAGTTTCAAATGGAAGCTGGAATCTACCTTCTGCAAACTCTGACTCTGCTCCTGAAGCATTCTTACTTAATATTAAAAAGATCTTCCTCCAGAATTCAAAGATTCAAGATTTCAAAAAAATCCTCCACACTGCATGTGATCAATATTTTATCTGAGTACTTGAAGTTCACAGGGCACCAGGTCCTGTGAAAAATTAATACAGACTGGGCGATACCTTCCATTTTCCTGCAAAATGGGCTACAACCTCCTGTGGACTTTAAAGAACATGGGGCAGTTAGGGTCTTAATAGGATATGCACTTGGGTTGGGAAGCGGGCAAAGCCTATAAAACGGCATGATGGCTTACTCACCTGATAATGGTTGATTACCAGACTGACTTTGGAGGAAGTCTGGGCAATGACATGCACATCCGCCGTGGTTGCTTCAGTGCTGGCCTTGTGGCTGGGGCAAGGTGCCAGACCGACTCCACTTGCTGCTGGAGCGCCCTCGGGGACAGGCTTTGCACTACTGCTGAGAGTTGAATGAGCTGATGTACCACAAACACTTGCATTTGTGGTGGATTTGTCTCCAACATGAGCACCATGGGAGTACAGCTGGGGTGATTGGCTGTCCTTTGCCAGGCTGGCTCTGAGTTGCTCCGTCTCTTTGTCTAGATTGGGATTGGCTGACAAGCGTCCAAGTGCTCGATGTGTGGCCGTTTTTGACAGCGACTGATCAGAACTGATTGTCGAGTCAGTCCCATCACAGGGTGACAAAAATTCGGATGAATGTTTCCTATCTCCTGATTGGCTGCCATGGGTTGGACGTGGATTAGTCCTGTCCCGTGATTGGCTGCCTCTTTTGTTCGGCCAGCACAGCCACAGACTCAGGGGGATTGGGTCGACCAACGGCACGGGCCGGTCAGGGGAGCTCAGGACGCCGTGGAAGTCAGCCCAGACCTGCTCGATCTTGACGTTCCACACATCATCCACAGCGTCTGGCCGGAACACATGGGTCGTGAGCCTGGCAACCCCTGACCTGACCGGCTGGTCGGGCTTCAGCTGATCACCAGGCCGGTTGGGCAGGTCGCCATTGGCAACGGGCAGCTCAGCCTCGCACTCCGGGGGCAAGATGAAGTTGGCCTGGTAGGCGTGATCCCAGAACAGCCGGGGGAGCGTCTTGAAGTCGCCAGCAGCACTCGGGAAGGACTCGCTCCCCACAAACAGCTTCCTGGTATTCAGAGCTTGCAAGATGTGCGAGAGATCGGGTCGAGTGGATCCTGTTCCTACTCGGCAGTTGGTAGCAGTGACCTGCGACATCTGGATATGAAGCTCAGGTGGACGATCTGGTTGATCAAGAACAGGTTCCTCAGCTGGTAAGATCACCTGAGTAAAAAAAATCACACCATGCAAGTACAGAACACTGAAAATACACACTCACTACATGAACCTTAAACTGACTAGGTATACTTGGAATCAGAATGAAGTTCAACAGAAGAACTGACTGCAGTAGGATTCGAACCAGCAACCTCCATGATACTATGAAGTTGCTCTACCAACTGAGCTACACATTTGTCAGATGAGTCTCCCGAGGTTAGAACGTGAAACTCACTCAGGGGCGAGCTTGAGGGTCAACCCTAGGGTACACTACACAACCCTGCTGCACCTTATAAGATCTCGAGGTAAATCTCCAGCAGTTACCTCGTTTCATGTCGTGTCCTTCCCTAACCAACCGGGATGGGTCTCGCTTCTACCATACTGAGTTGATTGCTTTATAATGCACGGCGGTCTCACCTTTGGCATGAGTGCATCTATTCTTACGTCAGTGTGATCTCTTCCCTCCGACACAACGCCCTGGCCGTATTCATCAACATCAGGCTAGGAAAAGAAAAACAATTGTTGTTACAGAAAACATATGGATTGTTCAAACAATATCTCAACAACAAAAGGATTTGTGAGTAGTGGCTAATGGTTGCTTGTAAATACCCATTCCAGTAACGGTCGGCCATTGAAGATGGCAGGCTGAACAGGTGCATGGAGAACTGTGATCTCAGGGCAAATTAGAATGGTGTTAATTGTTATTTTTGTTTGCCCTGCCCAACGTGTATTATAAAACTCAGTATTTGTTCCGGAAGGCTTTTGAAAAAAAACCACAAGCATACTCGGATGGGACTCGAACCTACGACTTCCTACTTAATACATGTGTACTTCTTCGCAGTGCCCGCTGCTCCTATACATCTGACTCGAAACAGCCAGCCGACAGCGGCAAGCGCGGTGGTCAAGTGGTTGAGACATCTGCTCTAGTAAGCAGGAAGTTATGGGTTTGAGTCCCACCCGAGTACGTTTGTGATTTCTTTCACAAGCCTTCGGGGGCATACACTGACTATACAATGTTAAAATACACGTCCGGCAGGGCAAAAAAAAACTAGCAATTAATTAACATCTACCCGGGGCAAATCCATCCTTGGAAACAGAAGGATGTTGCTAGAGTACTACTAGATTCTTACCAGCGTTTGAAGAATGTTGAAAGAGAACTGGTTGAGCCAGAGGATGGACGTGTAGTCCAGACGAAACTGCACTGGGTTGAGTTGGACGTAGACGACGGGGGAAGGCACTGTGGGGATGAAGAGAAACGTCTTGTGTAGAGTCTATGATTTGAGGGACGATTTTTTTTTTTTTAATGAGCATGTGAGACTTGGCTTGGTCGGGGGAATGCTCTGGCCACTGGTCTGACGTGGCCAGGTGGATGCTGTGGCCACCTTTCCAACGTGGTCATTTGCCTGCTATGACCGGCTGGAAACTGTGGCCCAGTTTACTGATTATGAACACTCCCTAACTGTGGGTACTTGTCATGTCTGCTGGACTTTACTCTCACCACTTGCAGATCAAAGCCACAGGTTAATGTGGCCACGGGCTTATTGCCGTCTTCCATCCACTGAGGCCACTTGTATTGGTAGAATGGCAGCCACTTGTCTAAAGCAGGACATACTAGTATTGTACCACAGCCACCTGATTGCTGTGGACACTTGACCATTGTGGCCAATTGTCAGAAAGGGACAATGACCTACCATGGCCTTCCTGCCTAAATGTTTTACTGGCCACTTGCTAAAAGGGAGCCACTTGGCCACATGCGTTGTGAGACCATCTGCCCACCTTTGCCAATGGACATGTAGTGTGGCCAAAGGCCAACTGTGGCTACCTGCCTGTTGTGGCCACCATGTTGGAAGCCAACTGGGGCCACTGGCCTGCTGCAGCTACGTGAGCCTGCCTATTGTGGCCTCCGGCCTACTGAGGCCACTTATGCATTGGCAGCAATTTACCATTAGACACATCCATTAAACGCAAGTTAACTTTCAAAACTGGGTCTCGTTACTGATGCAGCAAGCGGAAGCGACGATGGAAATTGTCCGAAGTAATTTCTGCAGGTGAGTGTGCTTCAACTTAAGGAAAACAAGTCCCAACGAAAACTTTTGCAGAAAATCACCAGGAGACCTAAAGAGTTGAAAGAGGTGAGTGCTCGTGGAGAACAAGGCAAAGAGTCTATTTAAATCTTAAAAGAGAGTGAAAGCGGAAAAATGAACAGAATGCTTCATGTACATGCAATGTTAAATTCACAAGATCTATGGAATGTTTTATGATGTACTGCAGGTGAGCAAGTCAGATATGTATGTACATGGATGTCCACGTTTGAACACACATGCACCTTGTGAGCTTGATACATGTACATAGTGCAATACTGTGCCGTGTCTCGCCCAGTGGCTGAGGCTTAGAGTAACACACACGCAAATGGCAAGTGGCTGCAGCCGGTAGCCAGTGATTTCCATAGACACGTGTGTTATTTCAAGCCGCAGCCATAATATTCGGACACAGCCGCAAGAAGAATTTACAGATTGGTCAGTGCATCATTGTCTTCATGACCTCTAACACAGGGTCAAATCAGGTCAGCAGATGCTGCACTCTCTGCATGTGCATTCTTGGTACTGTAGAACTGACCAATCAGAACAAGGAACTTTTATAATGAATAGCAACTGTGAATTTGGATGCCACTTTGACAAAGGGAAAACAAAGGAAGTAATGAGTTTCATGGATCCAAAAATGTGCCTACTTTTTCTTTCCTTTCTTGAGTTAAAACCAAGATTTCTTACTTAAACAAGAGCACTTTGCTCAAAAAAGAAATCTCTAGTCCTTTAGAATGGCAAAAAAAATCTCGAAATAGTCCAAAAACAAACAAAAACAAACCTACAGTATGTTTTCAAACTGAGGAAAAAAAATTCAATTCATCAACCGCTTCTACGATCTGCGGAGCCTTTAAAACATCCACGAAGAAACACAACAAAAAAGATCTCTCTTGTCATTAAGCACCATTGAAAACGTGAAGAAGCAAATTAACAACCCAAACCACTTTTTAGTCTGTCACATTAGTACAATTTTCCAGAGTGTAATGAAGCAGTATCCACCACCCCGAGTGTGAAATTAAAAGGTTTTGTTACAGCCAAGATTAAGTGAGGTGTTTGGAAGGATATTTACCGATTCTCCCGGGGGTCAAACCTTGCCATCCAAGCGTACAACCCAATCAACAAAAATAAAATGTAAAAAAAAAAAATGTGAGAAATGGCAACCAACAGTACCATATCAATCGATATCAATGAGTTTGCTAAGAACTTGCGAGTTAGTCTTGTGGGAAGCGCATGGTGGAGCTTAACGGATGAAATCGGAAACAAAGCGCAGAATGTTTGGTTTCCATTCCTCATTCTGAAGCAGTTTTACTTCTACGATTTGTTAGCGGGGAGACTTTGTTTCATGGAATACCCTCTCTACACGTACATGGACGCCACAAGTCAGACCTTTGGCCAGCCGGTGACCGGTATCTCTAACCCCCCCCCCGGGTGTTTCTTCTAAGCACCTTCCTGAACCATGGCTGGCCGTCAGTACCAAAACAAAAGATTACTTCACCAAACGTTAACAAAATCTCATGCTGCTATCAAAACACCCAATGACAAGTGCTAGCCCAGCGTCCTGAATGAAAGACAACCCACTGTGAATGTAACGAGGCAGTGATGTGCTCTGAGGCAAAAGCCAAGTGCTCAATACGGGCGATTCACAACACAGCGCCCCAACAAGTGTTTGCCGCAAACAGGCCCCTTTTCAAGTTTACGGTCGCCATGCTGTCACGATTAAACACACTTCACACGTCTTATGGGGATATTTGATTGATTGAGGCATTCCCCGCACCTCACAAAACCTTCATTTTGACTTCTTAACACCCCTTCCAAAAGAGCAATTTTGAATTTTCAACCAAGATAAACGAGCATCCTAAAAAATTCAAGTTTTCCGCACACAGCGCAGTAAAAGCGAATGAAACTTTGTCGAACATTTATCCCATAATGCACTGGGCAAAAGGCCTCTCCATGGCAACCTCCTTGGTGGTGCACTGCATTGTGTATTGCCTGTATTTCACAATAAATGCTCAACAGCCCTTCTGTGCTAAGAGTGCTTCCAAGTATTTCCAGACGACTGCTAAGCGGTATCTGCACCGCTAAGTCCAAAAAAAAGCAAAATTGACCCCAGAGGCGCAAGTTAACGGTACAATACCTACGTCAGTGATGTGACATTAACAATCTCTAGGCATAAAACACTATAGCTTACCCCTACCACAGAAGAGTGGGTTGAATGCAATCAGCATCATTTTCTGCTATGGTAAGCGCAACTTTCGTGCTAACTGTTAACAAGCAGTGCTATGAAATTGAGTCCAGCACATCAACTAAGGGGAAAATTTCTGAAATCTCTGGCCGCCCACATGGACAGTGCTGCAACGTGAGACAGGTTTATTATCCGGGTGAGAATGAACAGACGAGCTGCGGCACTTTGTCAAACTGTCTTTTGTGTCAGTGATAAAAACTAACCTGGGAAACTGAGTTCGTCGGGAAAGTAGAAAGAGGTATACTCGATGTGCAGGGAAGGCATCTCGCTGGGAAGGAAGAAAGTCTTCTTGTCTGACTGCAGCAGGAAGGTCTTGGACTTTGCATGCTGACCCACGCTCCGCCCCACAGCCACGCTATGGAACCGGAAGTCGCGCACCCGCACCACCATACTGTGCGACATCAGCTTGACCCGTGATGACGACGATGACGATGACCTGGACCGGCCTCCCGTCCCCCCAGGCGGGGGCTGCCCTCCCCTGGCCTGCGGCAGGGGGTTCTTGCTGGTTACCTGGCTCTGCTGCTGGGCTCTGCTGCTGGATGGCGGCTGACCCCTGGTCTCCGGGTGACCTTTAACCTGCTCCTTCCCCTGGCTTTTTACTTTCATGTTGGGTCCAGTCGCTGGACGTGGTGGAGGTGATTTATTGCCTGAAAAGTCAACAGATGATAAATAAATGTAAAAAAACTATACAATTCAAAACACTTGAGGGTAAATGTTTCCCTGTTGCAACCCATGCAGTATTTTCCTTATGACATTTGTACAATTTACAGATCATTCGTAATTGTACTATCTTCGCCCAATCTACAAACTACTCTTTGGCCCTTCACCGGCAGCATTCAACTGTAGTCCCAAAACTACACATTGAATAAGAAACCCTAAAAACAGATTTCCGTGTCATAAACCTCTCAAATTTGGACCACTACAATTCTCTCTAACGACGGTCAATTTTCAAATCTGTGGACTGACTCAACCCCTTGCCTTTTGGCCAAAATAACAATAAGCATTTCAGCTCTCCACCTAACACCACCCAGCATTCAGCCATTCTACATTTTGTAAGTACCTTTGTTTGAAATCTGACCCCCAACCTTGTGCTGACCCTTGCCCCCTGACTGCTTGGTGATGTAGTCGGCAGCGTACTTGTATTGCTGTTTGAGGTGCGCCAGCAGCGTGTGGATCCACTTGTCCGAGGTGCGCATGGCGTCGTCGTAGAACTCCCAGTGCTCCCTGCTGCTGCCTGCAAATGATCGCAGCATTGGGGTGAAACAGATGTCTTTAGGACTCATTCTGTGGGATTGGCTACAAGCGATAAGTCAGGAGGACGGGAATCTGGGAAGAAAGATACGGCTCTTTCGTTCTGGGGACTTGGGGAGCTTGGTCTGGAGCGAGACTTACTGGCTGTGTGGAAAGGGTAGTAGTCCAGAGAGAACCCGTGGAGACCGATCTGCATGGCGCCGTTTTCAACACGCCGCTTGAAAGTTTCTGGAAATTATAAGATCAAGTACAAGTCAATGGGTTGGTCCGAATGACAAACTTTTACAGGTAAGTAAAGGTTCATGGCATTTCTGTGGAGTAACAAGTAGATATTTCAGACAAGACACCATTACTTTGAAGGCACCACACTCAGGAGCGCATTCTTAAAACAGTAGAGCGCGAGCATTAGGCAGGTCACAACTCCTGCTTATCCAAGAGGCACTTACATGTAATGCACGTCTACCAGGTGAGTGCGAGCATGGCGCCATCGCGGCTACGGCTTCAAATTCAATCGATTGCTGCTGAAATACGGAACAACACCCCACTTCTTAGCCACTAAGGTTGGGAGAGTTTTTCCACCGATTATGCAACATTTCCCACAAGTTATTCTAGCAGGAATCACGGGCAGTTAGGATCAAGTCTGGTTAAATGTAACACATTAACAACTGACACATTTCATTGCTATCTACTCTACAAAGTTATTCCAACAAAACAAAAAACAAAAGTAACTTGTTAGTGGTGCACTATGGCAGACTACTGTATAAAAACTTACACAACCTAAGGGTTGAGGTCTAGTACCTGCACTCTCTACTCACTGTGCTCCAAATACATGTAGGTTAATAGTTATCAGGGAATGTCACGTTCTGTCTAACACAGAATGCAACTTTTCATACGCAGTCAAGGAAACAAATTATAACATACGTGCACAGACTCCATTTTCTTGGCCATAGTCGTTGTAATACCGTTAAAATATTATGGCAACCTTTTCTAAAACGTGGAAATATTGTTTAGTCTTCAGCTTGTGTTTTTTTCAAACACGAGTATCAGACATCAACCAAAACAGATTACACATGGTACATACACATGTAGCGGAAGTGGCTGATGCTTTTTTCTCGTTTCGAAATACCGGTATGGTGCCTTGAGGAGACCCCGAAGAATGGATTGAATAGGTCTTCACAGGGAATTTCAAAAGGGGAACAGATCTCCACAAAGATTTCATGAAACTGGTATTTGGAAATTGCTCAAAAAGGAGAAATTTTTAATGCGTAAGAATTTGTCGCAAATTGAAGTGTTTCATGTAAGGGACATTCGGTCGAAATTTCAGTCCAGGAGAGCGATTCATGTTGAAATGGGAGCATTTTGAAAACATCGTTTGACACGTGACCGAATTAGTACTGGAGAACAAATCCATGTCTCCACGAAGGATACAAATTTCGGAATACATGTTCGCAATCATGTAAATATGCGACTAAAATTATTGATAACGGACACAGGCATCAGATAACAGACGAGGGGCATGCAACCCCCCCCACATTCCATTCTTTCTGCTCCTCCCCCCAATCAATGCCCACTCTTGTGTTCAGTGCACATCGCCGTGCACGTCTAAGTGCATTCTGAGTCAGTACAACGGTGAAAATGCACACGGGAAAAAAAACTTTAAAAACATGCACATGCGGCAGACACATACGTGTACCTTCACTTTCTGCGTTTGGGGGTCGCCCGTGGGGATAACAAATTTGATGGGGGAAAAAAGGTAGAAAAAAAGGTAAAAAAAAAATTGGCTGATGTGGTGACATCCAGCACAGTCATGATGTGATTAATAATATTACAACCAGTATCATGTACTGTGCATGTGTGCACAGCCAAGCAAGGCGTCTATCTGTCTATTGGCTCTGCTCATTAACGCTCGAGGGCTCTATGCAAGTGGACAATTACCAAGTGCATTGTGCATGCACATGTAGACTTATATGTGGATTTTCAATTTGCTCTGTTACATGTATGTCAAACACAGTGAAAGAACAACATGGTTGCACAGTATACGGATGTCGAGAGGTTTATATCCATGCATGCCAAAGTCCAACCTTGAGCATCCAACTGACAAGCACCCACGACTGTGAATGCGTGGGCTCTTTCAAAGAGGATAGTTCCTGTAACTGTTTGATGATTCATGAATGCTTCTCTCTGTCTGAAAAATGGGCACATATTTAGAGCACTGTGGCATGCCTCCTCAGAAGGATTTTGCCAAGGTCTGCATGAAGGCGACTTACATGTTCTTTGTAAATATTCAGAAGTAATATGGAAAATGGTAAAAATGTTTAAAACATTTGGACACATCGAATTTCCACTTCAGCAAAAAGCACAACGGAATGCCCTATTTTCTACATTGAAAATTGAAACAAAGTCTTTGAGCTTTATTACAGAATTATCACAAAGCGAAATATCAGCAGATCTCCTGTACCATAAAATTTTCAACTTCAATTTTACTTTAAACCTCAACCCTGGAAGGCATTTCCCAACATCTAAATTGTGAAGGACTATTGACAATAATGAATAGCATGTATTAACCAATAGAGGCATTGCGTAGTAGCCATCTTGCAGGGCACTTCTTTTGTCCCACAGAGAAGCCTCCTTTGTTGCATACCCTGTGGAACAAAAGCACTGGCCTGCAAGATGGCAGCCATGCAAACCCTCCATACAGTTATTTACATGTACATGCACTTTCCTTGTAAAACTGGTCCAGCCATTCAAAAATCATGTCAGACAAAAAAAAACAACAACACCGATCAGTATAATTTCACCTTTAAAATAATACCACATAAAATGCAAAGATGCCGGTACACAGAAATGTAAACGCACTATAGTGCCTACAAGTCCAGCAAACATGATGATACGCTTGACCACCAAGGTATTAGGAGTAGAAGACGCTCGTTAAGTTTTATTGCTCTTTTACATCAGTCTGTGATCAGAGTAAGCAAGGTCGCTCACTCACTTCGAATATTTGTTTGGAATCGTTTTCTCTCTGCCTTCCCTGTTTTTTTTGGGGGGGTCACAATAACAGGGTCGGTATTATGCTTCCTGTTTTCCTACTTACCCGGTTTTGTCGGGATGACCCTAAATCTTTTTAGGGGGGGGGGAATCTGATGAAAATGTAAAATTGGAAACAAAGAGAGGTACAAAATTGTGTCTAGTTCAGTTTGAACGTGGTGACTCAACGGACTTGCTTGTATTCATGTGCATGACTAGTACCGTTTTAAAGTGTCGTTCATTTCATTTGAAATGGATGCCATCTGACCCCTCTTGATAAGTTGTTATTTTTAACCAAATACCTAACACACTTAGTCAATACCAAAAAATGTCCTTTCTACCTACCCGGTTTTTGGATGCCATGTTACTGGAAATAGAACTTTTGTTAGGCTACAACAATGCCAAAAAATACTGCTTAGCAGCAAATTTACGTGCTAAGCTAAAGTCAACAGGGAACCAATCACATGTAAACACACTGCATAATTTCTTTGGTAGGTAACCTAATTTTTGCACTGAGTAAGTTTTTGGTGTTCCCAGCTAAATAAAACCGGCCTTCATAGACAATGCGAAAGGGGTCACGCACTGCTGCCTTTGACATGAAGTGACCAGCAACATGGCTGACGGCTGTGTAATCATCCGTAACAAACAGAGAAATGGGTGAAGGGTCACGCAGTGGCTGCCAGGCAGCCAAATTTACGACGTTCCTTAGCGAAACAGAAAAAAATAAATCAGTTCCACGAGCAGTATTTGTCTTCCAGGACAAACGGTGAGTTGTCGTTTGGAATCCTGCCAAGTCATCAAAGATTGCGCATGCCTGTTTGTTTTCCTTGGTTTGTTTAGTCGGCTATCTAACATGGTTGACTAAGTCGGCTTCTGTTTTTGAAGAAGAAGGTTGGAAGCCTTTTATTCAGCGCAAACGACCATGACAAGATCAAGCCAACAGTTATATGCCCTCACCCATTCCAGATGAGTTTGTCAAATCTGTGTCAACTGTCGAAATTTGTCGCGATCTATAATCATGACACCGGCAAAAACAACGTGGGTACTATTTCCACGGGATGTTTGACACATTGACTTCGGCGCATGAATTCAAGCGTTGCCAAGCGTTGTAAGCATCCTGGGCACACATTTAATAGGTACGTTTAACATGTCTCTTCTCACATGAGCCTTTTACAAATTTATGTCCTCCGCACTGCCAGCAGCATAATTGTTGCGTTCTTCGGTAATGCCAGAGTATCCATTTTATATTGCAATAACCTTCTGTTTCCTTCGTACACTCGTAATCGGCAGTCAATGTGTGTACGTGGAATTTATGAGACAAGACAAAATTGGTTGTTGTAATAAAAACCCAGCCCAGAGAATTCCGAGTACTTTTTACCCAGCGGAGGGTCCGAGCTGGGAGAGCCTCCTCACAATTTTAAATCTACCCAAATCGACTCCAATCATTCGGACGCCGCCTCAGAGTAGTTTTTTGTCCAAATCTGATCTCACCTTGCTCTGGCTGGTTCATCTCATCGCACAGGTGCAGGTCGACGCTCCGGGTGAACAGGTGGTAGGAGGTCTCCTGCACGTCGTACTTTTCAAAGTACTGCAGCATCTGGAGCTCCTTTTGCGTCTTGACGTTGTGGCCGGCTCGGCCGGCTGGGTCCTCATGCACCGGGTGAGCAGGGGTAGCAGTAGGCTGCCAAAATGAACAAATGAAATAATCTGACCTACACTGCCGTTGGTTTATTGATTGCGTATCATCCTAAACCCCTTCGCTCCGGGAGACGGCGATAGCCGCGGCTTTGTGTGAGGATTAGTGCATACCACACATACAGTCTTTTCACCACACAGCTGCTGGTTCAATGGGGCCTGCTGCTGGACAAAGCCCTCCATTCAGGGCATACCACAGCCCAGCAGCCAAAATAATCCCGGCGTGAAGGGGTTAAAACAGGACAACTCAACACGGTGCAAAACCTTCAAACCTAAATCTTTGGGTCTGAAATAGGAATGTGGCATTTATTTCCAACACTACAGAATATTTGCTGAGTAAGTGTGGGCCTGACATTGGAGTAAGTTGGAAAGCTTGCGGTAGCACCATGCAAGGATACGATCTCTTTGTGAGTCTGTATGGTTCTGAAAAGAACCGTGATATTGGAGTAGTTTTAAACTCAAAATCTTACACCCATCAATATGCTCCCACGCACGCACAAATGTGTTCCGTCACGCCTTGCACGTGTAGACGGCAAAGCTCTATCTACGTGCACAATTCCCGTTAAAAAATCTGGTCACCTGGCCTTTGTCAGCCGCCCGCGCCTTGCTAAGGTTGGCCGCCTTCTGGATGACCGGCATCAGGCTACGGATGTGGAGGATGACCGCCTTCATCTGCGAGTCGGTCAGCACCCACAGGATGTCGTCCAGCAGCATCTGTAGCTTGGACGTTACCAGGCTGCAGTCTGCCTCCCGCTTCTTGATGGTAACCCGCACCTGGGAACCAGGGAAATCAATCAACAAATGCATCGTTGTATTTCTTGATGGTATCCCACATCCAGGTACCAGGGAACAAGATGGATCACTGTACCCTGCGATACTTGATGCTGTCTGATACCTCGGAACCAGGGAGACAGATTAATTTACCTTGTGGTTTATAATGGTATCTTATACACGGGTACCGGGCAAAAGAAGGAAAGACTATGAGCACCAACCAGGACAAATGGTATGAGTCGGAATTACCCGGCTGTGGCTTGGAATTTCACACGACTCTATGGGAACTGGTTGCAGCCGCAATCCACGGACTCGTGCATAATTTCAAGCCACAACAAAGAAAATCCGACACGGCCATGCTTTGAAGAATGTGGGCACAAAACTGAACAGCCATGTTTTTTTCATCCTGGGATCCATTCCATGTTGCCGGTAAGTACAGAAGTCTGCAAAACACTGACATTTGCTTTAATAGCAGAAGTGGGTTACCAACCAAAACATCACATGATGTGTGTTTCTAATGACTGGTTCCCAGCTGATTACAAAATTATTTAAATCCATTTAGTCGGTTACAAACAGTATCCAAATCACCGTACCTTTCCCTGATTAGTGATCAACCTAATTGGGGTAGTGGGACGTTCCCTGTCTGTTTCAATCGCATCCAGTGTCAGGCGGACGGTGGACCATTCCACTTCCTTAAAGGTGAGAATCTGCTCTCGGTTGGAGTCCTTGATGCGGGTGTAGCGCAGATCGGCTGACCTCCAGTTTGGGGTGGTGCTTTGAACGATGAGTTGGGCGATCTGAAGCAAAAAAGTTTTTACAAATATAAACAAAAACAAACTATGATCTTGAATGGTGACAGTACAAACTTTTTCGAAACAAACATTTTTCTGAACTTTCATGATGCTGCTAAATTGTTCACCAATTGGCTAACCTGGCTACTGTAGAAAATTTCCCACTGTAATTTCCCCTTGCACCAAAAAAAAATGGCTAAAATTACAACTCTAAATTTTCAGGACTCAATTTGCAGCTGAAATGGGACAGATCTATATTTTAAAAATTGAAACAAAAAAAAAGAAGATATTCACAAGCTGAAATTATAAACCACAGAAAAAACTCATAGTTACAATGTACCTTGCAAATTCTAAACTTATGTCAATTGTACTGAATTGATTGATACTGATCAATTGATCAATACCCATGGAAGCATGTACATGTATGTTGAGATGCGTAACATTCAAGGAAAGGGATGACTGTGCCGACCGAAACCTCACACAATTGCGTCTCCATTTAATAATCTACCAGCCTTAATCTCCCCAAGGGTCTCCACGCAATCGAACCCAATTAATTATGCCTATTCCTAGCCACCTGCCCGTCCTGACTTGTGTTTGCAGTTGTCTATCTTGTTTGTCTATCTTGTTATTCAGGGGGCGCGGTGCAGCACCTACACGTAGGTACACCCTAATTACCTCTCGGCCAGGTCTCCTCGGCGGGCAAGCCCGGTAAAAATGAAATCTGACTTGACTAATTGGCTTCCTGGTCTCCATAAGCACATGTATAATGCTACACAGTCTCCCACATGTGCGAGCACGAACGCATTCAAAAATGTATTTCAAAAAGAGAGGCACTGCCAAGCAAGACTGGGTGTGCCAACCAGGAAGTTCAAATGTGTCATTAAAAATGGACGTGGATTTATACAATGAAAAGCATGTACCACATAACTTGATAAAAAAAACTTACTCATTGTTATGGTAGAAATGCAGACAGAAGTAAATGTAACAAATAAGAGATCAAGCGGATCGTTTGACTGAGGGACCGACTGATGGATTTAACTGACTCCATTTACGGCTTTCGACAGGTCAAACCTACCTGCAGGTTGATGTGGAACGTGTCCGATTTGAGTGTGCCTGTTATCGAGTTGATGTGTATGTACATGCCGTCTACGACCTTCTCAGCAAAGCCGTATCGACTGACGGGTCTGCCCATGGAAAAAGGACACGTTTAATCATGCGTACGGTGGCAGCGTTATCTAACATTCAAAGAAAATGCCTGACATTGGGCCACGGACAATGTGCTCTAAGGCGTTTTTCGTGGTGAAACGTTAACATGCTTCACAGTGACCAAAACGTTACAACGAAACTGTTACTACATGTATGTTAAACTACTGTTTGTAAAAACATTTTCAGCGATAAGCAGATGGCTTGCTTTTAGGCAAGGAAAAGTTGGTGGCACATGATCAAATTGTGTGACTTTTGTTAACCTTTTAGCACATGCTCTACAGAATCTGATTGATCGTGATAACGATGTCATTGGTCACTTGAAGCAGCCCCCTGCTAATGATGGCAAGCATTGAGATTACTACTGCATGGCACCACTGTTCCTTGACAAAGTGCAGCGCAGTGCTTCCTGCCATCGATGGGGGCCATCGGAAATGTCCAGCGAAATGTTGCTGGATTCGTCGACGGGGTGCAAACGTCAACACTTTCTGCCACTCACACTTGCGACTGCTTCGTTGTGTCTTCCAGCGGGACGGCGGTCTCGCGTAGTGTCCGACACGTCGCCATCTCCAATTCTACCTGATCCAGATACTGGAGAACACAAGAACGGAACAGGTTAAACACTGCTCGCCTAAAGTTGAGCACGACTTGAATGGCTTTGAACTGAGAGGATGTTGGACTACTGGGGAAGGCGTGGCAGACCTAAAAAGGAAGGGGGGACACCGCCGAATGGGACGAACACGGTACTCACGATGCAAATTGGGTGTGTCTTCAACTTGGTCCATGGAATCTGAAATAGAACACAGGAGACATTAACATATTTCAAACCAAAAAAAACAGATGATGCATGTACAGTACACTGAGGTTAAAGGTTAACCTGGCAGCAGGATATTCTCTTCCTGCGGCATTTGTTTTCATTTCACAAAAGGTGAAAAACTCTTCCGTCAGTGGGCAAAGTGCTCCACGCCTTTTTTTACACTTGCACACACAAGTGGGAAAAGATTTCCACACCTTTTTCACAAAAAGTGTGCCAAAATTTTATAGCGGGGATTGGGAAACATCCCACCTTGTGACATGCGATACGTGAATGTGAACTCTTTTCACCAAATTTCCCTTTCACAGTGTTAACGTTCAATGCAAGTGTGCTGTAGGTATTGACCGTTGCCTCTTAGGAAGGTGGTAATTAATAAAATACACTGTCATAGAAGTTTTCTCTTTCGACTGTGTCTTACATGATGTACAACTGTAGTTTTGAGGATAGGCAACATGTGCGCGCAATCTTGTTCCACTGCTGTTGGGACCACACACTTGTACAGCAGTTACCGTGGGGACCCCCCAAAAAGACATACTGAAGTCCAACAATTTGGTCTTAAAATTGCCCAGCATAAAATAAGTCTCATCAGCAATGCGCAAGCGTCAGTTCTGAATGAAGAAATGTGCCCGAGAAATTTGGTGTGTATAGAACTTTACATGCACATTGGGGAGTCAGGTTGGTGAAGTGGCTCTTTTCCCGGCTTCCGCCTCTGCAACCCGGGTGCAAATCCCACCTAGGTCAGCAGGCGGATTGGGTTTTCAGTCCCTGTCTAATTCCGTGGGTTTACCCTGGCACGTCACCTAATTTATCGTAGTGCTAAATGACACCACACATTGTGGTTGAATTACATTTAATGTGTTTACACAGAAACCAGACAAAAATTATACAAGTACCTGGCACCGAAAACAGTAAATAAATGTACATGTAACAACGTGATCCAACATCCTTTGCAGATCAATGCATGGGCCACATATCATGCTTATTAAGTTTACTGGTCATATTGCGATCACAGGCCAACAAAATCAATGAAGGCAGCTGCTTATGACAAGGTTATGTCTGATCCACTGTAGATTGCAAAAACACAGGTGTTCTATCCCAAGGTACACTGTATGACAACATGATCATGTACATCTCTGCAGTAAATGTACATGTACATGTATACATGGGTATCTACATGTACATTTGTACAAGCAGAGGTGCATGCTTGTTGTAGGTTATTGGGCGCTTGTACATCGTGCCTTGTGGGGTACCGGAACAATGGAAGGTACCCCACAAGGCCAGTTTTGATACTTGTGGGGTACTAAAGTGATACCCCACAAAAATTTCACGAAATAGATATTTCAAATTTACTCAAAAAGGAGGAATTTTCGAGTGCCATTCATCTGTCACAAATTGAAGTGTTTTATATAAGGGACATATGGTCGAAATTTCAACCCAGAAAACTGAATTTGGTTGAAATGGCAGTGAGTTGACATTTTTTCCGTGTTGTGTGGGACTTTTGTACACGAGAACAAAGGAAATACCCCACAAGTATGTATACATGTACATATGTAAGGGGCCACGACCATACATGTACGCGTGTTGAAACATGTACATGTACACTGTGCGTAGACATTATGGTGACCGACCAACGTGACGGGGACAAGTTTTTGTCCCCGCGACGTGGTTCTGATATAATGAGCGAAGTTGCTCCCTTAATCAATGCAGGGAAAATCTACTCACACCTGCCTGTCCATGTACATGGGTTATGTTTACATTTGGTAAGCTGCAGTATCCGTGTACACCGGTACATGTACATGAAATGATTCACACATGGCCGAGATACATGTATGCCACATGTAGTTTGTACCTAATTGTGTGCTGTTGGTGTTGTTCACATGTACCGGTACATACATGTGCATCTATCACGTCTAATGTACATGTATACTCACTGAGCGGAGCCGGTATACATGTAGAGTACCAATGTGTGACGTCACTGTGAACCAGAAAATGTGCTGCAAATGAATGGAGTACGTACGCGCGTTGGTTCACAAGCTGGTTCTCGCTCTAATGGCTTTTGCGCACACACTCGTGCACGTGACGTAGTCACTTTGGTACTCTGCCTTGTACACACGTACACGTACCATACCATGCACAGCATCAATCTTATTGATTTATTGACACCCTGCTAATTGAAGGCACAATTTATGAGCAAAGCACAGACTGCACCGTTTACAGCAAACAGGTGAATCTTACAGCATATGCATCAACTCGTTTGACCTGACAGGACGGGGGGGAGGAGGATAGCTTGCACCAGGGGCAGGGTGCCATTTCTGGTGAACTCCCCCTCCATTTACGCATTCTGTCCCCTCCCTCACTCCATTGAAATGGTCAGATTTCAAGACTTGGCACCTGATGAGTGCAATGATGGGTACTACCAGGAATCACAAGTTGGGTTTTTGTCGTTCAGCAAGTCCATGTAACTTTCCCTTGGCGCGGTGTTATTTTCAGGGTGGACAGACTGTGTGAATGCACACCATGTTGTGTTCAGCCTGATAAATGCTCAGCCCACGCAACCAACGTATGACCAGGATCCATGCTGGAAAGGATGCCCTCTCTTGGTGGAATTGTACCAATTGACACGCTGGGATTTTCAACTCAAAATGTCAAGTTTCAGTGCGCACTTTTGAAGGTGGGAACAAGCATATTTGAATTTTTCGTCATTTATTTGGGCCAAAGCAAGATAAAAATTATGTAATACGCAGGATTGTATCAAGAACCGAAAGAAAAATCGGGGATTGATCATGGTCCAACGAGGCATAGTCTCCCCAACCAGCCTGTCTCTTCATTGATATGATACATGTATATAGTGGTGTGTAGAGTTTAGACAATAGATTTTCGACTAAAACAGCCATTTTTACCAGACGGATTTCCCAACGTTTGTGTCTACTGGTATGTCCATGCTCGAGGGTACCAGCCAGATGCCACAAAAACATTTACATGTCAGTCTTGTAGTCAAGACCACTTAAGACCTTCACAAGACCACACAAGACTAGCGCAAGGTCAACACAAGACCCCTTGTCTGAGTTCAAGCCACAAGCTATTCAAATGAACTTCAACAAAAGCATTCCTTTGTCATTGTTCACCCTGTTACTTGTGTCTGGTCTTGTGTCTGGTCTCGACTATAACACTGTTACATGCACAAGTGTACATGTACATGCAGGTACTGTCTAAAGCACCTCACCCACAAACTGTTTCTTGATTGGCTGAGATATAGTCATATGGCATTCGTTACTATTCCCATCTTGCATTTAAACAGCCAAAAGAGCTTTACCCATACGATAGTAACCAACGAACAATACGCATCACCATCAGTATCGAGTACAAATGCGTACGGGTGAGCAAATTCTACGTACTTCTAGGTGCTAGGGTTAGAGCTAGCTGGGTTCAAATAGTCCACAAATAGATACTTTGGAAAACTGCTAGTGACTTTTCAACACATTGTAGATAAAGATTACATTTGAATTGTATTCAGAGCAAATTATTCAGCTGTTCAGTTACGACAGAAATCAAGCGGAATCTGTGAGGAGGGTGTCATAAAACAAAGACAGACTGCTCTATCAAGTGCATTGGCCCTCGGGTACAAAAATAGAATGCTCCATGGATCCGGGAGGCGAGTTTTACAGCATCATTCCAAGCAGTCACTACATCTAACACTTGCACCGGTACCTTGACGGAGACTTTGTTGCACACAGCTCTGTTGAGCACCAGCCAAGATGGGAACTCGAGGACCTCCATCAGGGCATCCTCATCCAGCTCCAGGTCCGTCAGGTTCCCTTCTCCCTTTAGCGTGCTCAGCCGGATCCTGTCCTGGGACAGGTCCTTGGCAAATCTGGGAGATCAAAGGATAGGAAGAAATCACTCGAACTTATTATTCAAGAACGTGCACAAATGTACAGCTACGTACCATAGACACATGTGCGCCACAGAGTATGCACAATTATAGTTGTTGGTTGCTAATTAACCCTAACCCTCCTCAATCCTTCACCTGTTGGAGGACTGAGGAGTGTTAGGGTTAATGGTAGATCTGCTCCCAAACTGGTGTGCCTCCCTATCCAGGATTACCTCTGCAGCCTCGGGAAGTCTTGTTTTTTTTACACAATCGAAACGTCGAAAAAACACGGGGGAGATGCTGCTAGAAAATGTGAGATTGTGACAAATGTTGGCAGTGGAAGTCAGTGTCTTGACAGGACCTTGCTGCCTCTGGTCCCGCAATTCTTTTTTTTTCATGTAAAAATGCCAGGTTAGCACAATTTTTAAATGAACTCTGTCAGGTGGTGCATTAGGTCATGACGTTAGAAGGAATAGACATTTTCTGCATAACTAAGCCGACTATATTTTCACTGCTAAACACTGCTAAACTGATAGGTCACTGCAGGGAAACATGAGAGGCGCCTATATTATACTAATAAGGAATGATTTGAAGGGGTGTGTGGAAATTACTGGTCCGGAGGTGTAGATCAGTCTGACTCCCTCCCGAAACAACAACAATCAGTATCATTCTACCAATCAAGGTAACTATATCACCATTGACTTTTACTGAGTATTTAAAAAGATTTTTATACAGGTGGTCCTGAGTGATAGGCTGCTAGCTAGGGCCTACACCCTCTAACATGTCTAAGGAATTGTACAAGAGGAAAACATGAAAAGGAAACAGTTCTATATCTGGGTATCACTTGACGCCCTGCGCACAAACATGACAAATGGAATGAGACTGGCCTGAAAACTTCTAAGTAGGCCTTGGCCTATTTTCTAAGTAAATATTTCAAAATTTTCACTGCTATGTTGACTGTTTAGGACATGCTATGATCTTCTGATGGATGACAAACCACTGCAAGGGAAAATAAGCGATGACATGTCCATACCTCCGTACAGCCTATCCATGCAGTGGTGCTGGTAGACTAGGCCTACATCATACCATTGTACGTATAGAACTCTTCTTACTGTGGGGTTCATTACCTTTAGTACCCTGTTCCTATTTTAAGGGAACATATTCTACTGTTGGTGATGTCCTCTTACATATCACAAAGAAAAGAGAACAGGGCTTTTGGTTTTTGAGAAAAATGTTTGGGTAAAACGGCAGCGTACATGACTGCCCCAAAGGTAGCTGTGAATGACAAATAAGCGGATGTAGTCTGGTGCCTTGACCTGGATGGAGATTTGTTTTGATGAATCAAAAAAGCCTAAGTCGGGTAACCGGACGAAAAACAAAATGGCGTGATTCGACTGAGTGGTTGTCTATTGCCAAATCGGGTTAGAAATTTAAAGTTTTCTTGCTTAAATATTGTCAAAATTACCTTAACTGGGCCTATCAGGATTGGGTAATGGTTCCTTAAAAAAGGTCAAAATGTCAGTTTGTGAAAGTGGACTCAGTTTCCTTATTGTAGAAACAGGGTGATAATGGAAATGAACCCCTTACTGTGACTGTGTATTGCCCTGTTCCATAATCAAATTAATAATAATTAGTACTGCAGATATTCATCAACACCGTCATGGCGGTGTCATCGTCAGCTGATCGTCATCTACTTAAGCGACTCGAAAAGTTTGGAAGTAATTTTCTGTTCTATTATTACAGAAACCGGGTCCGCAACTACACAACCCCAGTCTTGTCTACTTCACGCACTTTGCAATTTTGACTGGTAATGTCTAGCGCCTGCATACGCGTTGACGTGGTTGACTCATCATGACCAAACAATCGTCAACGCCTACTTACTTTGAGAGGTGCTTAATTATTTGTCCTTTGATTATGGATGCCATCTCTGCTCCTTTCCTTCTCTTCCAGGTGATCACAACTTTTGTCGGCCCACGCCGACTCTTGATCGACTCTGTCTACTCTTAATTTGACAGCTTTGTATCCACCGATGTCCACGCGAAAGTCTCACACAGAGCGGCTGCCATATTTATTTCTGTCGAAGAAATGGTAGAGGGCGCTATGCAATTGAAGCGGCACTTGCTTGATTATGATACGTGGTGCGGCGTAAAAAATAATTCTTCGCTACGCGAAGGCGCTTAAAAATCACCCCTACAGATTCTTTCGAAAAAAGGGTTCTGTGTGGGCCAAAAATTGTATATTGTGTAAGTATGGCCCAGGACCATCTCAGGGGCCATTTGGGTGAACCAATCCGGGCCAAAGCAGACAAAAATGTGACTGAAAATTTGAAAGAAGAGCCCGAGAAAGGTGAGGGATGTTATTTGAAAAATGGCACTCCTGAGAAGACTTGGGAACGTTCACTTTTTGGGGGTTGAGTTTTAAATTCATTGGCTGACCTACGGAAAATTGAAAATCAAAGGAAACCCAAAGGACCAAACAACACATTGCTTTTTGTTTGAGAGGCCTAAAGGACTTCAGTTGCCTGCCATGTGCGCTCCAAACTTTGTTGAGTTTACACTGTTTTCAATGAAGCTTGAATAGGTTCAGTGCACCCTGATGCACATATACACCCACGTATAGGCTAATGCACAACTCGAGAGCGGACGGCCGAGCTCATTGATAGAAGTTCTACACTCAAAATATTTCACATTACTAAGTTGTAAGAGCCATGAAATTCGGAAATTGAACTAAAGAAATGGTGCACTGAACGTCTGGCCTCGACTTTGGGCTTCCAATTCTGAACAATGTGGATGCAATCGGGTTCGAAAGTGGAGGGACGAGTTTTCAAAATGTACTTTTCTGGGCAGGGACATTTCATTCATTTTAGGGGTGGTCTGCTTTGGGTGAGAATTGCTCAAAAATTCATTGGTCAACCCACTAGAAATTGAAAGGAAAATGAAAAGGGGCATATTGAACATCTTTTTTATGCAGCCTGAACACCTGTGAGGAACGTTGTAATTTTAAATCAGCGAAGTATGGGTATTTGAGGTTATTTGTTGTGGTGCACTCATTTGCGGTCATTCTGACACAGATTTTGGGAAAATCGAACAGACCGTTCTTGCGCAGTACGCATTTTCCCCCCAAGACCTGTCAACAATGTATACTTTTTTCACTGCGGTGCTCAATGCACGCGGCCGACACACATGTATAGCCTTGAACTTCAAATGACCGTAACAGCAAATCCATTATGATTGATTGAGGTTAAACTTCACATTTGTAATGATGAAAAAGAATGTATGAACATGCATGCTCAGCGTAAAAAAATATCAAGCATGGTACAGTCAAATCCGGTACCCCCTTTCTGGCTGTGAGATGAGCTAACAATAACCCGACTCTTTTGGGGGGTGATCCCATTTGCAACAGTGTGCTGGCTTAAAAAATAGCGGTTATATGCCCCCATCAATAAAGGTTGCGAAACAAGAGTTTGGATTAAGTCGACTGAGAATTATTCCTGATTTTGGAAAGCAGGAGAAGCCAGTTACAATTTGAAAGCAAAAAACTAACGAACAGAAACAAATGAATTCACATTCGCAATAGAATTCTCTTGGATGTTGGTTCTTTATCAAGTTGTGCGAGTGGTCGCCTTTGGCACGCACGACGGTGGTTTGAAGGAATTAAGGAATAAAATATGATTGCTGTATATCTAACATTTTGAATCACTCAAATTTTGACACTTTCCAAATCCAAAATTACAAGCGTAATGATTCATGGTTGTCCATAAATTATCAAAGTGTTGGTTCTAGTATTTTTTATCACCGTGCCGGCACTAAGCTTTGCCTATGAGCTTTTTAGTTCCTGGGGAAAAACTATCAACAGAATCATTTTTTTCATGGAATGATTATCATTCAATGAAAAAAACGCTGCCTTTGGATTCTTTTAACACTTGAGTTGAGATGAGGAGGTAAACGACACGTCTGTGAACGTTAATAAATTTATGCAAATCCATAAACTATGGATAGAGAAATAATTTTCTGTTTTCAATTTTCAGGTGAAAGAAACTGCAGTTTCGTGTCAAAACGATGAGTTGTTAAATATTACCCGTCGGCAAACATAATTGTTTAAATATACGACCAAGCACAATCGCGGCGAAAGAAGTCTACGGTGTGAAACAGGCAAATTTAGTTCGGAATCAGTTGTGAGGTAAACAAAATTCTGGCTCGCTAATTACTGCAGCGAAAGAGCAAGTGTGTTGCAAAACGATTAACTATCAGTTCAGATGAACCCTCAACACGACATTTCGATCCACAAAGAACACATCTGTTTTAATTTGAGATTTCCCTTAAAATAATGAAATGTGCAAATAGCAAACAAAAGTTCAGAAGTACTTATACAAATCTGTACAAAAAGATCAACTCCTCCAAATGTTCTAAATTTCCACCAATGAACGCAGTGTAACCACAAGTCTAGGTACAACTGTGCAAAATACTTATGGTCTATTTTATGACTTATTAGCTAGGTAAGTTTTACTTATGTTAATGAGTACGATTGACTTTTTTTTCGATATTACTGAAATAGCAATTGTTGCATGTACATGAGCTCCACCTCGACTCCCATTTAGAAATTCGGAACAGGACTGAAAATCTTTGTTCTCTCACAGCCAAGTGAGTTTCTCCTCAACTTCAAAATATAAGGTTGTTCTTTTCTTGTATAACCTCTACGTTTAGCAATGATGAGTCTTAACTGAACACAATGCATTTAAATCGTTCATTTCTGACTTTTAGGTACAACTTCCACTTCCAAAATGATTGCGCATCGTTAGGTCAGGCCATATTAATAATTAATTATTGCGTAATTAAATCCTTAGCATGGCTGTTGAACTTCCCTGGGAAGTACATCTTCCTGAGGAACATTTTCAAATTGATGGAATATTTTCATGCAGAATTCAAAGTTAGTAAGACGAAGCTCAGAGTTCCATATTGTACTTTCGAAATCGGAAAGAGTGAAATTAGGGACAAGATGTTTTAGAGTGAAAATCACTCTGAATTTAGAATGAAAAATAGCCCTGTGGGATGCTTAGAGAGCAACTACAAAAAACACCTCGTTTCTGATTATGAGGTAGCTCCTTCTTTTTTATCATTCTAATGGCCCTTTTGTTCTTCCGTTGTTTCTAGCATTTGAATTCCAGTCTTTGTTACATCTAAGTCTGTTGGTTCGTCTTTGTTTTGTTTTTGTCCTTTTTTTTTACTGTATTGTACGGTGATTGTTGTGCTTTTATGTATAATATGTTGTCAGTCTTCCTTCTCTGGTCCTTCTTTTTGGTCTAAATGAAGCATTTCTGTATAAGACTTTGTCTTCTGATTATGCCTCCGTTTTTGCCCCCTTTTATTTCAGTCTCTTATTTAGTTTTCACTCTTGTCAAAAATCTTTCATTTATTGACCTTGTGTATAGTTTGATGTATACATTGCAATATTAAAATAAATGTTGAGTCAAAAAATTTTGGGTAAGGAGTAGAGGGATTCGTGGCTATAGAGGGTTTGCATGGCTGCCATCTTGAAGGCCAGTGCTTTTGTTCCACAGGGTATGCACAAAGGAGGTTTCGCTGTGGAACAAAAGAACTGCCCTGCAAGATGGCTACCACGCAAAGCCTCTATAGCACCGCCTGTGAGCACTGGTGATTCTTCAGTCTTCAAGATCCATCCCACTTATAGGCGTACGTCACCAAAGATTTTCTCGTGAAGAACGCGCATGCGCGAGTGAACCTCGTCCCAACCGATGTAGCCGCCTTCAAGGTGGCGGCTTCCTTCGCCCGTGAAGGTGTAGGCTTTGCGGGCGTGAAGCACGCGAACATTGTTGAAAGTGACCATCTCTCCTGTAGAAAAGAGAGATGACGCAGAATTGAAGCTAAAATAATAACAATGGTCTCTTTCTTCTCATCAGTCACCCGAGAAATGGCAACCTCTACTGACTTTTCCTTTTCTGTGGGGGTAGGGTAAACCAAACTTTAATTTGATACATATACATCTTGAATATTTGAAAAGTTACATTTGTTTCAAATAATGGTATTTCTCATCGTTGTATAGGGCAGGTTTTTCCGATCAATCTGCAACCGTAAGTCTGAAGCCATCTACCACAGATAGGAAGTTGATCAACACATGCTGACGAATCATTGCGTCCTTATTCCAATTTCTTAATGCATAAGAACAGTTCACAGGAAGGCAGTTTTCCTGTAAATTTATACTAGGTCTATTTGGAGAATCCTTGTTTCGGGTCAAGGAAAACATGAAGTCATTGTGTAGACGTGCACTTGATTAACACCTGTAAAGTATCGCTATAGACCTTTTATACTTAAATGCCATCCACACTTATCTACGTTTGTACTAACCTCCGGCCAGCTGATGGCGCACTAGGTTCTCCGGGCGATACATGATCTCATACAGCAGCTTCAAGGCTCGGTACAGCTCCGTGACTTGTGCGACCGGGACTCGCGGCAGATAGGGCGCCCTCGTGACGTCACAGAAATGGATACTCTGAAACTCACCGTACCTATCCAACCTGCAGTGTGGGAGGAAAACGGGACCACGTGCACGGTCGCCTCAAAATTTGGACCCAATTTCATGTGGTCATGAGCACGCCGCACTTAAATGGCCACAGCAATTCCAGCCGAGTTTGGCAATATTTTAAGCACTGAACTCTTAGTTATGAAATGTACACACCCGCCAACAGTAGTGCACCTTGCGCATAATTTATAGCTATCCAGTTCGTAAGTGTGACGCTTTAAACCACGCCCACTGCACATGCACTGCACATAGAGTTACATGCATTGATCGCCGTTTACATGGCACCATGGAACCAGAAGTTAATGTGTAACTTCAGCGATTGTCCAATGGCATGTCTGCCTTTGTGACGAAGTCACTTACGAACCGGATACATAATCCTTCAAGATCAATGTTCACTTGAACCTTGCCCAAAATTGACTCAAGTCTTTGAAAACACCTTACTGTTTTTCTACGCACACTTACTTTATTGTTGGTAACGAGCTCTTCAAATGAAATGCGTTTCCGCTTTCTGTCGTGCCACCGCCACGGAAGTCGATTTCCTGGGTGGTGAGGAGTTGATAGGCTGCCGGGAATTCGGTCCGGATTTGTTGGGCCACGTGAAGACCATCCACAAACTGGTTCTCACCACCTGCAATGTTGGTCCTCTCGATGCAGTGCAACATCTGAACCTGTTCTTTCCAAGAAAACTGTCTCTTAAAATTTCCCGGAAGTCAGTTGAAAGACTAATCAAAAGAAACAAAAATTCAGAGATAATGATGTTTATAAATAGCGACTGACAATAATGGATGCAGACGGCTCCTCCTTTTTCCCATGTTTTTCACGGTGTTCGTTAACGATACCTTCGACCGCCAAATCAAAATTAGCACATCCTGCTTCATATGGTTTGATTAAAACAATCTTTTAAAAACGATAACAGAAGGTTTCCTATTCAGAGATTAATACGTACGCCAGGCAGGTGGTAAAGGTACAATTGATCAACATGTAGACCCAGTTCAGTTGGCGCATAGGCAATGTTGCTAGCATCTTGTTTACGGAGAATTTCGAAAACTTCACTGAAACAAAAGAGAGGAAGGTTTCTGACTGTTTCGGGTCGAAGTAATGGTAAATCTGGAACTGATTTGTGTCCAAAAATCAAACCCCGCTATAGCTGTTGAAATATATTTCATTATTGTACGTTGTCACGTAGGGGTCGAAATCTGGCTTTATGACGCAGCCGTGGTTTTACTTAAGCCTCCATCTTATCTTTGCAACAATGAGCTAAGCGCGATCAAGAGAGGGTACCATTTCCCTCGCAACGGAGGCTTCTTTGTTTGGAAATTCAAACGACTTTAAAAATGCACACGTTGTGGTCGTGTGACCAATCAAAATGGTTCTTTTCAACCAATGAGGGGGTGCCTCAAGACGGATAAAAGGGAGATGGAACTAAGTATATATAGTTCCATGCACTGTAAAGGTGTCTTACCCATAGAAAGTTCTTTTCAGGAAGGCGACCCTCTCTGCAAGTTGCCGGCTTGGTCCCTTTTCAGTCGGTGCCCCTTTCACCAAGGCCAAGCCCTTGGTGTTCAAGACGTCCAGCCAGTTGTACAGCTCCAGGTCGTCTTGGAGAAGTTTCTGGAAGTCAAAGGCCGGGATCCTGCCGTTCAGTTCAGCTCCCCATGACTTCCTGATCGGACAGCTCACTGTGTCTTGCTGCATTTCGGAGAACCGCTGGCGGTTCAACCAAGCGGCGTCAAACTCGCTGCGGTGCTGGTCCGGCCAGGTGACCCGCAACTTGCTGCCCTCATCCAAGAGCTCCTCGGATAAAGGCATCACTTCTGGATCCAAGTCAGACATTTTGGACATCCTCTGCAAGGAGGGTGGACTGAAGCATTCCGAACAGCGGCAGTTGTCCCTCAGCCAGACGTAGGGATAGGTGCCTTCGTACCCGCTGTCCATAGCCACCCGGTACCAGCGAGCAGCGTCGTCCCTTGTTAAGCTCATCAACCGTAGATCTGACGCCATTGTGAAATGTAGGGACTTGACGTCGTTTCTAAGTGAGAAACTCTTGCGCTTTGAAATGAAAATGGCGGGATATATTTCTTTGAAGTTGGGCCACTAAAATTAGACAGCTACAACTAGATCTTAGCAACATAACTGGACAGAGGGGCCTACAGCCCTACGTGTTCCATTTGACTCTTGTTCAACACGAATCCGCTTTAATTCAAAAGTCAATATCCCATAGCTATATTAAGCCAGAAAGCTGACGTAAACGCAGTGCCGTAGCCAAGGGGGTGGGGCACATTCCCCCTCCAAACAAGTTCCTGGTGCCCCCCTAAAAATCGATGAAAGGATATTGAACAAGACAAATAAAACTCTCCCCCCCCCAAAAGAAAACAACACCACTGAAAGCTGGTGCCCCCTTTGTGCCCTACCACTAGTAAAATCCTAGCTACGTACGCCACTGTGTAGCCTAACAAGTAAAAGGGCAAAAAAATGGGAAAACTGGCTGGATCAGGAGTCCCAAAAGTCACTGAAAAAGTGGAATGCATCCCTACAAAGTATGACCCACGTACATTAGAATTGATGTGGTGCAACTGAACAGACTGCATGCAGGCGAAAGAACAATGATGCGCAGAGCTGCACTCAGCGCTTGGAGTAACCGCCTCGCCTGCCGGCAAATGCCTCACCGTTCCTGGAGCACAGGGGCTTTCACAGTCACATCATGGCGGTTCCTACCTCCACGGTTACATGCACAATGTACACTGCATGGAAAATGTGCATTTAATAAAACAGTGCACTGTACTAGTGTATCAAAAGTGTATCAAAGATCTGCGCAGCGTCGTCTTTGCTATAGTGGCACTATTTCCACGCAGGTGCAGTCAATCACACAAATCCCGTTCTTTGGGCAAAGACCTTCAAACAGATCCTGACAAATGCTATGAAAGCAGGGAATAAGTTCATGGACTAGCCAGCTTATTTATTCCAAAGGCCAAAGTTCACGCAGAGGAATGTTGAAAAATCCACTCTTGTTTATAAGAACTTGCCACATACATGTACGACCCATTTCAGGTCAAACTAACTACCAAGAAGAAACTTGTTAGCCGAACAATACCATGATTGTGTCAGGGAGGAAGGAACACATTGTGTAAAGTGGTGGATCGATTTTGGTTGCCTGTGGTTCGGATGGAACATGCAAATATAGGCCTATATTTAAAATTTGAGCCCCCGTACACTAGCAGGGAGCACTGTGTCCTTGGAGTATAGTAGTATTAATAGTAATACCAGCCAGAACCACCCTCAACTAAAATAAGTGACTCGAGTGGATTCACCGGGCCATGTTGCGCCGAGAGTTACTGAATTGTACGCAAAACAAAAATGCAAGGCAAAACTTATTTAAAATGGGTGCTTACAAGAAATGTGATGTCTCAGCTACTGAAGGGATGGAGGCTTTTCCGATTGCAGCGTTGAAGTTCCACCATCAACGAGTGCAGGACCATTTCACCCTTGACGAAAAGCTGTTTACGGGGACAGCAATGCATCCAGCCTAGGAGAATCCCACGCATGACGGTCAGTTATGGAACGCCAAATGTACCAATTTATGATGTAACGGGATAAATGTTGTTTGCCCATTGTGTGAAGTTGTCAATCAATTATGTGATGCTGTCAAACAATACGGTCGTTTCACAATAGTGCGCCTCCAAGTGTTTGCAACGCGTTGACCAATCTCAATGCGCGAAATTTGTTGACTCAATGCACGTTTCGAAAGGGTCGATAAACTTCGCTCGTTAATTGTGATTGGCCAATGCGTTGCGAACTCTTGGAGGCGCACTGTTGTGAATCGCCCCGCCGTATTATGTGATGTTGTCAAACCACTGTCCAACCGCTTTGTGACTGTCAGTATATTAGGTGATGTAGTCAAACCACCATTACATGTATGTGGTGTTGTCAATAAACCATGATGTTAATTGTCAATCCATTATGTGATGTTGTCAAACTGATGATGTTGTCAAACCATTATGTTATTAATCCATTATGTGATTTTGTCAATCCATAATGTGATGCCGTCAATCCGTTATGTGATGTTGTCAATCCATTATGTGACGTTGTCAAACCACTACGTGATGCTGACAACGGGAAGCTACCATGGTCCGTACAGGGATATGTCCTTGGCAAGTGCAGAGGTAGCATATTGTTTTGACTGCACCACGTAAACCGGATAGATTCATCGCATAATTCGACACGTGCTATGAAAAGAGACAGTTCACCACTTAATGCAAGAACTACGTACGCGAAATAATACGAACATAATGCTTTGACAACGTCACATAATGGATTGAGAACTTTACATAATGGATTGAAATAATCATATAATAGATGGACAACATTACATAATACATTACTGACAACATAACAGTTAGACAATGGATTGATAACATATCACATAATGGTTCGACAATATCCCAAACTAGTTTGACAGCATCACATAATCGATAGTGACAACATCACAAAATGGTTTGATAACATCATACAATACACATGTATTGCGAACACCATCAAACAACATTTATCTAGTACCATCACAAAGTGGAACATTTGGCGTTCCATAGGCCTATCACCCGGAATGGCAAAGTGCAATGAAACCGTGCACAATTATACTCGCGCACGAGCTGGTGGAATCGCGGATTGTGCTTGCATAAACTAAGGGAGCTAGTTTCCGCTCTCAGGACTATAGTCTCCATGTGCAGCTGAAATGGTGGGCGGTATAGAACGGCAGGTGGGCGAAATATTTGGGAGACATGTGTAGGCAGTCTAATGATAAAAAGGCATGCAATTCAGTAACTGTTACACTATGCCGTAAGCCCGGAAAGACTAGCTCTTGGGCTATCGGAGTAGTCTTATAACACAAGCCTATCTAGGCTCCCAGCCAATCGCTAACCTGTTGTTCCTCCTTTTTAAACTTGCCGGCTTGCATAGCAAGACAATCAATATCAGTAGAAATGTGAAGTCCGGACGAAGCCCAGATCGTGGTTTTGTTGGTAATTTATGGTCATTTGAAGTTCAAGGCCATACACGTGTCGGCCCACGTGCACCGATCGAGCAAGTAAATGGAAAAGGTATACATTTTTGGCTGACATCTCGGAAAAAAACAGAAACTCCGAGTCAGATCGGACGCAGTGCGTAGGTGGATCATGCAACTGTGACGATATCCGAGAAAATACGGTCCGGGGTGCGGATTCAGCCAATTCCAAAACCAATCGTTGCTTTCAAGTTGCTTGGAATCAATTGGAATCTAATTGGTTTGAATAGTAAATTTGGACCTATTCTCAATTAATTGGACCATTTCAAACCAATTGACACCATTTGAATGCTAATTTAGAACCCCATTTTTACCAACCGAAGAACCAATCGAAACCACTTCAATGCCAATTCAAACCAATCCAGTCCCATTTAAAAAATCCATTTGATGGGGGGAAGCAAGAGAAAGCATACCAATTGGAACCATTTGATTTCCAGTCGACGGAAATAATTCCAATTGATTGGGGAAAATAAACAGCAAAGAAAAAAATGTGAAACGAACGGATTAAAAAACCTGACAGACGGATGGGAATAAAGGTTGTGTCTTGCAACTCTAAATCAGCGTTGACTAGTTGAAATGTAGTGGAACCACGCCGCACCCTGGTAATCTACATTAAAACTTTAAGTTGATATTTATTCAAGACTATACAGATTAAACACGTATCGATTAGCCGACGTCAATTACCATCTGGAATACAGTCCAGATTGCTAATAATCAAAGATGCCAAAAGCACGATAGTTTTGGAATACAACTGCAAGTGTAAGATATTATTAGAATGAAAACTGTTCTTTTGTAATCCAAATGATTCCTCTATGCACCAATAGTACGATTATCAATGATACGCAATCTGAAGTAGGTATGATATCCCTGGAAACTTGCACGCCACCGCAAAGTTAAAGTTAGTTATTATTATTATTATTACGAGTGAAGTTCAACGCTTTCAAAGTCTTCAACATCATTGTTTTTTTTTTTTGCAGAACACTTGCCGGAATCAGAGGAAGGTTTTGCTACAGGCCAAGACTTTCCTGGAGAATGCGCATGCGCGATCGAGCCTCGTCCCAGTCGAGGTAGCCGCACTCCATAAGGCGCCCTCCTTCGCCAGAGATGGTGAAGGCGGTGCGAGCGTGTAGCAGGCGACGGTTGTCAAACGTGGCCATCTCCCCTGCGAAGAATGAAACAGGTCGCACTTGGATTAAACAGATTCATTGAGACGATGCGGTATTTCATTACCGTGCACGCCCAATATGAAGTTGTCCGAGGTCATTTGGGAGCAATGAATGACTGATACGGGCCCAAGGTCCACCTTATCAGCGCGACCCTGTACAGGTATGCGCCGATTAGCACGCTTGTTTTGTTCTCGAATGACATTGCCTCCCAGCATATCCAACTACTGGCTCACTGAAACCTTGACATGGAAACATCATGGTCCACTTTCCTTGGACGAGAAAGCTCATAACAGCTCTCATATCTTCATGGAGATCTAGATTCATTAACCTTGCATTAGTAGTCATGGCTGATATCGTTTCAAAAGGTCACCACTGCAGGCCTGCATTGGTATTGTTCAAGTGTGATTCCTTGTTCGTGATTTCCCCCTGCCTAGCTAGCTGCATGTATTTCACAAGGAGTTTTGCAAACGAATAACATGCTAGCACCAACCTTCAGCCAGCAGGTAATGCACTACATTTTCCGGCCTGTACATTATGTCAAAAAGCAGCTTCAGAGCTCCGTAGATATCAGCGACCTCCCCGACTGGAACTTGAGACATGGAGGGCGATCGAAAGCTGGTATCGTAGTTGATGGCTTGGAACTCACCATGTTTGTCCAATCTATAGCCAACGACAAAAGTGACAGAACTGAAATCCAACTGTAGCCTGCTTCTTAATCATTACTGGCTACGGATTACACGTACACGACTCAACGTGGAGTGGCATCAGCCACAACCGTATCGGCTCATGTGAGAAATTTCTAGTCAGTCCCGTCTGGTGCACGAAATAACTACCGAAGAAAAGCATTTCACACGTTTCTAATATACATGTACTCACTGTATGGTTGGTCTTGATTTCTTCATGTGAAATGGCTTCAGCCAGTCGTAACAGGTTACACGTGTTTCGAAGTCTACTTCTCGAGTCGTCAGTAGGTAATACGCCTTAGGGGACTCCTCTTTCAACTGTTCAGCAAGACGCATCCCGTCCACAAACTGACTTTCACCACCGTGAACATTGACGCGTTGAATGCACTGGAGCATTTCAATCTACCGCAATTGGAAAGAAGACTATACCCTATAAAAATCATTTAGTAATGCATTTTTTCGGAGTCTTTTTGAGGAACTCTGCCCATATGTGGAAGGTGTTTTTTGTTTAATTCTTTTTGGGGGTTTTGTGAGACACACAAAGTCTTTATGACGACAATTTAATTGTAAACATTCATGTCTTCCCGGGCATCCCGATGTATCTTATTGATGGTCTTTATCATTATTACTATTTCTTTGGGGGGGGTAGGTTTTTTTATTGTATGTGAATGCTCAAATAAATACAATTTTTATCAAATGCACTCATATTTGCCGTCGACAGACGTTTGGCGCACAAAGAGGAAAGAAAGCATTTTCCGTCCTCATCGCTGGCACAGAAAGACGTCCAAAAATGACAAAAGAAACGAAATTAGGAAGAACACTGAACGTGTCCGGAAACTTGTGGAAACGGTATTGGCCCACGAGATCACTGTCGCTGACAACAGACAGCAGGAGAAATTCCGACTCAACTGACAATAAATTCCAGAAAGAAAGATTTCCGTCAATATAGGCCTACGTACTCCTGGGGCGTAGTCCATGTACGGCTGGTCCACGTGAAGAGGAAGAGCTTGATGGGAGTACATCAGACGCTCGGCTGTCGGGGTGCTGAAAATATGGCACGTATCCCTAGAAGAGGACAAATCCCGAGGTGAACTCATAGTACGTACAATCAAAATATAGCTTTTTCAATAGAGGGCTCACCCAAATCTACGCCAATAGATAAATCTAATGACTTAAGCATTAATGCCTACTTGCGACTTGCCGAATGCACAAGACCCTACAGTTTATGGAAGGTCACATTTCATTGAGGAGCAACCACAGCGATGACGTCTCCTCGGATTTGTTCAGAAAGTTTTTCATGTAATTGTGCGACTCTGCATTTTAACAGAGGTTGTTCTTACCCGTAAGAGGTTTTCTTCATGTAGGCGACCTTCTCAGCAAGTTGGAGCATAGTCCCCTTCTTGGCCGGTGCCCCTTTCACCACGGCCAGGCCCTTGGTGTTCAAGACATCCAGCCAGTTGTACAGCTCCAGGTCGTCTTGGAGAAGTTTCTGGAAGTCAAATGTCGGGATCCTGCCGTTCAGATCAGCTCCCCACGACTGTCTCTTGGGACAGCTCACCGCATCTTTCTGCATTTCGGAGAACCGCTGGCGGTTCAGAAAGGCGGCGTCGAACTCGCTGAGGTGCTGGTTGGGCCACGTGATCCGCAAGACTTTCCCGTCGGCTACGATCGACTCGGATGATGGCTTAATATCAGGGTTTGTGTCACCCATTTTCACTTTTCGTTGCGTGACGGCAGGACTGAAGCATTCCGAACAGCGGCAGTTGTCTCTCAGCCAGACGTAGGGATAGGTGCCTTCGTACCCGCTGTCCATAGCCAGCCGGTACCAGTGAGTAGAGTCGTCCCTCGTTACGCTCGTCAGCCGCGGGCTCGCAGCCATTGTTGCAACGGTTCTGGGAGGTCTTGACTGAAATGTGAACTTGGGATATGACAAATACCTAGAGAGCTTTAGATCATGTAGATTTTATTACCAGCGCACCCTGGAAAAGTGGTATGATATCTGAATCAGAAAACCTCATTGGTCGGGGGTTTGTGCATAGCGTTCATGTCTCCGCCAATTGGCACCTTATGTTATCCAATTAATACTGTGAACTCTAGCGAGCAGTATAGATTTCTTGCGGTTACACAAACTGCTCAGCGGGTCAATTTGTCAGGAGTGACCCCTGAGTCACTGGCTTGATATACGCATGCTCAAATGGTACTGGAGTACCAGAACCGTTATCAATGTTTCCACATCGATGAAAAAAATTCAACAAACGCTGATGGACTGTATGCCGCAGTGCTGCGTGGCGTGTTGACAAAACGATGTTGCAAGCAACATTGCCACATTTAAGATTCTTTGATTTTTCACAAACACGATCTTACAGAAACCTGTTCCGTCAACTTGCACAGCTGGCCCAACAAATTCAGAAACTTATACAAACACGTAAAATGTTCCCCGAATTTGCATACTGCCTCGTTCAAGAATTAATGACGAAGTAGGCTTATGTCACACTGATGATAAGATGACAACTTCCCTTACTATCCAAACTTTAGATTTAAATTATACCGAACCTTTAGCAAACCTGAGTAGTTGAAAATGACATTTTTTCATAAACTGTACAGATTTGAAAGTGTCACTCTTAAGGGTGCACCGCAGCAAATAAATTCCCATAGTCAGAAGTGGTAAATCCCTACACATCACAAAAGTTTAAAAATACAACTCTCACAGGTGTTCACCGAGGTTCAGGCTGCACAGAAAAGCGATGTTCAACATGCCCTCTTTCATTTTCCTTCCAATCTTTAGTGGGTTGACCATTAAGTTTTTAAGCAATTCTTACCCAAAGCAAGCCGCCCCTAAAATGAGGGAAATTTCACTGCCTAGAAAAGTAGCCATTTTGAAAACACACCCCTTCGTAAAACGGCTAAAATAGTGTCACTTTCGGACCCGATTGCATTCAAATTGTTCTGAATTGGAAACCCTGCGTCCGTACTAGAGGTTCAGTGCCATATTTCTTCAATTCCCCAATTCCATGGTTCTCAAAACCCTCTAATATTTTGAGTGTATAACTTTTATTAATGAGCTTGGCGGACATTTTTCTGGCCTATTTACGAGGGGGCACCTTAAAGGCCGGTTCATACAACTGGCAAACGCCAAAGCGAGGCGAGTTCGACGTCATGAAAGTGTTGACGCAAAATTTCTCTCGAGGGAAATATGTCCAAATTTTGCGCATTTGCAGCTCCAATACTTGATCTGACGTCATATATTCGCATTTATCTTCGCTTTCAAGCCAATTGCGAACCGGCCTTTAACGCGTGAATTTAACGCAGGAGCGAACTTTGAAATTTGCAATGACCCAAATTAACAGTTAACGCACTACACACAGGGAAGCCTCACACCGCAAGGAGGTACACGCAGAGATTAATTACTTGTTGCCTTTAGATACATATTAATATGTAAACTTCTAATTATTAAAAGCCACTGTTTATATTCACGATTCACACTTCCTCTTAGCCAACTCTTTAAGTTTACATTGCTGAGGGTGGTCCTCAGGTTTCGCTTCGTCAATCATCACACTTCCATCAACGCAGGTGCCTGATGAGTGATGAAACAATAGTTTATGGCCAATAAAGTATTATTAAACCATTCAACTGAAAACAGAGGGCTTAGAAATTAATTGGTGACCAAAATCATGGGACAACTGGAACAAATAATAAGCATGTACACATCTTGTGGGATCCGCTAAAGATCCAAAACGTTTCACTAGTAGGCCGGGCTTCTATTTTTGATAGGCTTTCCATTTATAAAATAGACATTCCAAAATAAACAAACGAAATATGAAACTGCATCAGTCGTATCGACTTCTAAAAAACCGACTTGCTCGGAAAGTTTTGACATTGAAAATTATGTGTATCTCTAGATTGTCACAGGGAATTTAATTGCTTTGCACCGCGGTCAAAATGATCAAGTTAATTTTTTCTGTACATGAAGAAATTCAATATTTGCAACCGGATCTTCGTGTTTGTTTCAGTTACAAACACGGATGACCGTGCGACGATTTGGTGACACCGTAGTCTTTGTCTCACGACGTTAGTGCTTGATCGATAGCGAACCCTAACGACTCATAATTAGGCTGTGCACCAGCTAGTGAGAGTAAGTAAAACTAGTTGTGCGAGGGCACTCTTCAACAGATTTAAAACAACTATCGATCACTGACGTCTTGGGCCAAGACTAGTGACATCACAGAATTTTTGATACAACCAGGAGTATGTTGTTCGTGCCGAACTAATTCCTCTTATGTAAACTGAAAGCGATCTGCTAAAAAATTCTTCGGATACATTGGACCGTGAAAATTTCACCTGCCAGGTATTTTCAGGTTATGTTATCAACACAGCGCGACCCTTGATGGATCCCTGCCTATAAACCTACTTTCCAATCTCATTGTAATTTTGCAGGCATATATTGGCCGTCAAGAGTGCGCTTTAGAGGTATTAACGGTCACGTGACACATGATATGCGTGCATCAAAATTGTTGTTTATTTTTCTTTTTCGTAGTTATACATTCCTGCCTAGGAGCGTAATAGCTTTCAATCTGAACTTCTGTAGATAGCGACCTTTGCAAAAAGGTGGTTATATGCCACTGGCCTCTTGCTGTAATTATTAAACCTTATCAGGTACTTGGAGTTGTAAGTTATTTGAGCTATGCACTGCAGGAAAAAAGCTTCTTCTGAGTGTTAGTCCTGAATGAGGTCCGCGGCGGGATTTATTCCACCGCTATTATTTACCGTAGCAAACACAAATGCACTTTGAAGCCACATAATGACAATTTTTTTTCTTTCAAGCTGACAGATCATCGAATCTTTATGTGCCCATCCATACATTGAAACAGCAAGCTTTCATATTGTGAGCTTTGAGCTACAGATAAGATCGAGGTAGATAATTCAACAGCTTGGGTATACCACAGTCTACATATGCGACGCATAAAACCTTGCATTTGGTTCCCTATCCATCATACGTAAATATAACATTTTTTTCATATTCTTGCGTTTCGATTCTTCTTGGTTCACAACATACTAGCGAACATAATAATTATTTGAAACAATATAAAGGCGTTTGCTTTCCAAACTATTTACTTCGTATTTCTTGCAATTTGTGAACTTATGAGATAATTTAGCAAAACATCATCAGATTAGCACAGTCACGCTTTGTTGATGTGGATCCCAAAGTGAATACTTTGATTGCTGAATATTCATCACTGTTTTCAAGACATTCAAGATAATTATGACCAAAAATACACAGCGAAGCTGCCCGTGAAGTTGGTGACAACTTCCAAAATTACACACGGGCGTCTCGGCTCACTACAGCGAGAGACTCTTCTGAAGAACACGCATGCGCGAGCGAGCCTCGTCCCAGTCGAAGTAACCACCTTCGAGAGTGCGCCCTCCTCCGCCAGTGATGGTAAAGGCGCTGCGGGCGTGCATGACGCGGAGGTTGTCGAACGTGGCGATCTCCCCTGCGAAGGAAGTTTAAATACAACAGCGTTCTGAGCAACTGAGCACGCTGTGTACTTCACCATGAATACGAGACCTCCAATGCAACTTACTTTAAAGTGTAGTATTAAAGGGTCTAGTTAACCAACAGTTTTCGTTTGCAAGTTTCAGAAAAGTCCGACGTGAAAAAAAGGAACCAGGAAAATCACCACAATCAGTGACTTGGAGTGGCATAGTTTAAGTACACGGCTCTTCGTACCGCCCCATCGAAGTACACCAATATGCACGACTCCTAATTGACACAAATCAGAAGAAAGCATGTTCCTCAGGGCTGAGACGGCGCATATTGGCAATGGGTGGTCGCGCCAGCCTCTGTATTCGTCACTGTTGAGGGGGTAATCGTGTACGGAACGCGTACTGACCTTCAGCCAGCTCGTAGTGCACCAGATTTTCCGGTCTATACATGACGTCATGGAGCAGCCTCAGGGCTCTGTACATTTCAGTGACTTCCCCGACGGGAACTCGGGACATGGACGCTGCTCGGAAGCAATTGTCATAGAAGAGAGTATGGAACTCGCCGTGTCTGTCCAGTCTGCAGCAATGACAATAGCACCGTGATGGTTTTAAACCAACAGTACGACATGATTTTCTCAAAACCACGTTAAATCAACGGAAAACTATTACCACCGCGGATATAACAATATTTTGCACGTGAGCGATGGATAGTTTCACATACATATACGTTACAGTTTCCACGTACATACGTCAAGTACTTGCACTTTTGTAACGGCGCCTTTCCATATGGGCGTCAGCAATTACGCCATTTTTGGTAACAATCATCCGGCGTTGTTCTTTATATACTTACAGTATGGTTGGCGCGGTGTTTTTCACATGAAAAGCCTTGAAACGGTCACAACCGTTTGTTTCGTAGTCTAACTCTCGAGTCGTCAGCAGCTCGTACGCCTTGGGAGACTCATTTTTCACCTGTTCAACAGCACGGAGGCCGTCCACAAACTGATTTTCAGCACCGTCAACATTGGTTCGTTGAATGCAATGGAGCATTTGAATCTGCCGCATCATAAATTGAAACCAAATGTGTTTAATACCAAGCCACTATCGACGAATGTTTTGAGTCAAGGTGTTAGACAATAACGTCTATAATCAGCACACTATGGTTACCAAAATGTTGCACCAATGTTTTGCGGCCAAAAAGCATATGTATTCAGTATCTTTTGCTCGTAAAAGTTGACAAAGGGACCTCTACAAAAATTCCAACGATTTTCTGAAAGAAACAACTGCTAATACATACTCCTGGCATGATAGTTAGGTACACTTGGTCAGTGTGCAGTGGTAGGGCGCCTGGTGTGTACACCACACGAGAAGGATTGGGCCTGCTCTGAACTTGCCACAGATCCCTGAAGGAAAGGATGAAAATTCGGTCAGAAAATGAACCCAAATATTTAGAGCCAGATCTCTATCTGTTTATTCTTATGAGCAAGCGGGCCCTGAATCAAGAGAGATTCCTTTTTTTTCCTTCACACCCGCGGGATTGAGCAAATGTATAAAAAGGGTTTGTGACCTTACCCATACAAGGTTGGTTTCAAGTAAGCAATCCGGTCAGCCAGTTGGCGCATACTTCCCTCCTTGGTCGGTGCCCCATTCACCACGGCCAGGCCCTTGGTGTTCAAGACGTGCAGCCAGTTGTACAACTCCCGGTCATCTTGGAGAAGTTTCTGGAAGTCGAAGGTCGGGATCTTGCCGTTCAATTCCGCTCCCCACGACTGTCTGATCGGACGGGCCACCGTGTCCCTTTCGTTACCGGAGAACCGCTGGCTGTTCAACCAGGCGGCGTCGAAGTCGCTGCTGTGCTGGTTGGGCCAGATGATCCGCAAGACTTTCCCGTCGTCTACGATCGTCTCGGATTCCGGCTGCACCTCGGGATCCAAGTCGGCCATTTTGAATGTTCGCTGTACGATTGAGGGATTGGAGCATTTGAAACAGCGACAGTTGTCTCTCAACCAGACGTAGGGATAGGTGCCTTCGTACCCGCTGTCCATAGCCACCCGGTACCAGCGAGCAGCTTCATCCCTCGTTACGCTCTTCAGCCGTGGATTCTCCTCCATCTCTGTTACGGATTAAGGTGGAACGGTCTGAGCATGAAATCTCCTTCCAGCCCACACCTGAGTCACATGATTAGTTTTGACGGTACAATGCTATTCGTGTGCTAAACACTTACCCCGGTGATAGGAATTTCAATAAAATATACGAAGGTCGGTGTAGTTAGATGTTTATCACCAATCTAGTCCAGAAGTGCGTTTACTTTTGACCTTGTCAACATGAACCATGGCTATTTAATGTGAAAGGAACAGGGCTGAAGGTGTTGAGGATTATCGGTCCGTTTTAATAAACGTCTCTCTTAGTGCGTCTATAAACCCATTAACGTGCGATCAGTTTGATGGGTACGAAGTTTTGCTTAATACGTATATCAAATGATGCATTCTGAGGCAAAAACCTGGTATTACACCGCAAAACTTTTGACCAGTTATATTGCAAAACGACTACAGATTAAAGATTGGTCGGTAATGATACATGTACGTCTCGTGAATAACAAAAAGAAATGTTAAAAAGCGTTTCCACAAAATTGATCGTGTTTCATCATGGATGTCAGAAGTGTTACTGGAGAGGCGACTACACAGTGAGTGGAATCGATACAAGTGTTTGCGAGTAGGTTCGATGCAAGATTTTCGAGCCAAAGTAGAAATTCTCCTCTAGAATCGGCAAACGATGACGGTTGGCTTACTGCGCACTCATTAGAGATTTCAATTAAAGCATTGTCAAGCAAAGCGTCTGTGGTGTCACGCTTGCTTGCCCTCAGTCCGAATTCTCAACAACAACACAGGACATCACAGGAAAAAGGTCTATATCAAGTACCATGGAGGAAGGACACAAACGCTACTATATTGTGTAGTCCTCATGCCATATGCAGCAAGGTATGAGACGGAGATAACCCCCCTGCTTTGTGTTGGTCATTGTCTCGCAGGAATCTGGGGAATTCCTTTCAGACATCTTGGGGGGATGTGTTAAGTAACTATAGTCTGCAATGTGTATAGGGATTGGACATGTTGGGGGGTACCCCTCGGTCTCATTTCTTGCTGGGTATACCTCATGCCAGAGTGATTCCACCTCGTGTAGCCAAGGCGCAAGTAGGCTACAATGGAACGCCGCTATAACGAACACGACGGGGTCCAGGCTAAATGTTCGGTACAGCGGTGTTCGGTATAAGCGACGTTCCACTGTACATGTAGTTGCGCTTTATGCTGCTACGTTAATTTTTTTTATAAACCTTCTGTTTTTATAAGCGATACCAACCCATTTAGCCGACGATTTTAGGGATTTTCCCGTGGTACGGTGCAATTTGAGACGGAATTTAGTATTTGTTACGATTTTGCAGATCCCTTTTTATGAATGGAAGAGGCACATGCACTATGATTGTTCTCGGCCCCTCCTCACCCCGTACACACATACAGCGGATGGTGCATACACGTACATGTACAATACATGTACAGTACGTACGCTTCACTGTCCACAACAGGTGCCCCACATCACATTTACCAGTAGCTCAAATTAAACAACTTCAGTTAATCCCATCAAATAATTAAGCCTTCCTTGACACGACTATGATCTCTGTGTAAACAATCTAACAGTACCGTACCTTTTTAACAGCGGAAGCCTACAGTTTTTCACTACCGTCACGCGTACACCACCCGCAACTTACTGCCGTCGAGTCACTCTACACGATAGCCAAGGCTCATATATATATGCATGGCCAATATTGTTGGTTCCGAGTCAACTTGCACCGACCCAAACCAACTCCGACCCATTCCAACTCGGACTCACGACCCACTCGGACCCATGTCAACTCGGCTCCAATACTAACCCGGACCCACGAGGGTACAGTCCACTAATTCCCG